TATCGGGGATACTGGTCACTAACAACTTCCCCACTTTACCTAATCCTAGAATGATATATGCTTTTTTTGATGGCGCCTTCCATTTTAATAATTTCAGAAGCTCGGGAAATGTGTTACAAAATAAGTAGTTTTTAAAACAGTCCGCGAGCGACAACAAATTTGGACAAATATGCCTGAAATTCATACAAACGGTGTGATTTACGGCTCCATTCATTTTTAGGATAGCGCTCTACATTGTTCGGCAAAGAACAGTGGAAAATAGTTCGTTCGTACCCAAGATAGTGAAATTTAAGCGAGATAAATGTAGGACGTAATTGTGCGCCTGTACATCCTGTATAAAGTTAACACAAAGAGCAAAAAGCACGTTTTATGCAAATTTTTTAAAGCGTGAGTGTAAGAAACCGTGGCCTAATGCATCGGACAGTTTGTGTTTTGCTGCAATGAGTAAACCACAGTTGCAGAGGAGAATTTGGTGAAACAATAAGCCGATTATGAGGGCTTCATTATCTGCTCTCTCTACTACATTTAACGTTATTATGTTTTTACATTTCTTTGTCGCTTTAATACATATCAGCTCGGTTTGTTTAAACGTCACAAAGATTTGTTGAGCAGAAAAATTCAGGTTATTGGACTTTCGGCAATAATGCAAGGATAAGGCAACAGCGGCGTTCACACTTTAGGCCAGCTGTCACCTTCAATTTCTACTCAAATTTATTAATTTGGGGATCTGCCCTGGTAATTAGTGACTAAATCCCGCCGTCACATATCCCTTTTTAATTACACGTAGCAGTAAGTGAATTTATTTTTAAAACTAATGAAACACAACTCTTGAATGAGGGTCTTTATGTAAATAAAATTCTTTTTTACGACGCGATTCCCCCGGTCAATCCGTAAATCGTCCGTTAACTTTGACTTTTTTAACGTTTCTAGATGTGTTCGATGCAAAAATATGACATCTACTCTGACACGATACTAAAATATTTATTTGAGGAGATATAGGCTCATAGACGCACATGTGGCAAATCATCTAAGAGTGTCAGGATATAAAGATCTGCTTATCACCAGCAGTGTCAGCGACGTAAAATATCTCGTGAAATTTACGTGCACTCTGTTTGATTCTTCATATTTTTTATGTTGTTACGTAATGCAGAGCGCTATGTGTGAAGGCCTATACAGGAACACATCACAAAGAAACACAAACAAGTTTATTCACCCTTAATACACTAATATCCGACAGTCGCGTCTTCCTTCCCCCGAGAAATGCCACTCGAACACAACCGTAAGCGGTAAACGCGTAAGCGGTAGTCGCGTAAGCGGTAAACGCGTAAGCGGTAGTCACGTAAGCGGTAACCGCGTGACTTTTTCAGTCGAATTGACCACCACTTCACGAAATATCCTCCAGCTGCACGATAATTGCAACGTCCACACTACTGATTCCTCGAGACACAAATTAATAGCGCGTAACCTTCGAAACCTCCGGCATGCAAATAGTTTGTGGAGCGATTACGAGTCTAAATCTGTTATCAATTGATGTATTTCGCAAACGAGCGTGGAATAATACTTTGGTCAAGCATGTCGTAATTTGAAGGAGTAAGTTGCGGCTTGTATTTGTCCAAGGAGAAGAGGGTACTGCGAGATATTAAACCCGACGGCGGTAGCAATTAGGGTGAGTGGATCACGTTATCGCCATGTTACGTCCAAAGCGACACAAGCGTCCTACCGGTCTAAGCTCATGAAATTATCTAGCATCAAAGTTGTTCTGGCTATGTGAGGTTTTATAATGTGCGGTTGCTGTGACACTTTTGCCGGATCTAGTCGTTCCGGGAGTTAATTTTTGATGGCTATCTTTCAAAAAAAAAGTGTATCTTATTAAAATAATCTTTATCGTTGTGGTGTGGAAGTGGCAGTGGTCTTAAGAGGGAGAGAGCGACATTTTAATTCTTCGTACACCACGTAAAAAGAATAGTTAGGGAAATCTGCTTTCAGTGACAATATCGTCTTGAATCACGCGTGCGTTGTCAACGTTTTAAGCTGTAATAACATTTTAAAAGTAAAAAACTTTTACACAAAAATGCTTTATCGAAGAAGAAGAAGATTATAGGATGTATAAAATCTCGAACGACACAAAGTGTTAAAGAACATTAAAATAACAAAGCCAGCACGTGAGGTAGGAAATGGGATCGCCTCGCAACAATAGCCTTCCCAGGGAATCGATAGTACGGGAATTAGAAATACCTTTTGAGTTTTCGATTTATTGAAAAGGATCGTAGAAAAAATGGCACGGATGCGTAGGTCTTCAGCTCTGTGTGAAAAATAACCTGCGCTATCAGTCCTGCAAGGTATTCCTATTCAACTTCCCATTTCAGTTTATTTGTATGTATTACCAATCCAATATCATTTGTTATGATGTTGCTGCTCACGCAACAAATAAAATAATCAAAAATTTACTCATTTCTTGTGTGAGTAGTCGCAGGCGTCAGTTGCTCCATGCATGAGAATCCTTCTCACATTCCGCCTGTCGAACTGGAAAACTCACACCAGGAAAATCAATGTTAATTTTTATGTGTGCGATCGTTGACTCCACGGTTGGTGGATGATCTTGAACATCCAAATTATCGCCGAACAGATTCTGGCTTCTGTTTTTCCGGGATTTTTCCTCGATTTGGAAAAAATATGTGGTGGCTTGACTGGCATTCACTTTAAAGTGCATTTCTGTCTCTGGATTTCAGAGCTTTGTCGTTGTGCATGTATCCGTCCCTTCGCCCTCAATTTCGTTTGACGGTTTAATAATCGAACATTTCAACGTTAAAGTTTTTCACAGACGTATCGTTGACGTGTGTAATTAAAGCACGGTAATTCCAAGAGAGACGGGACTAACGAACTGGGTACAATCAACAGCTTCTCTTTCTTTCTTTTGTAATTATAGGTGTGTAAATGCTGAGTTTGTATTTACCTTCAATTACTTTACTTTGTACTTTGTTAATTGATTTGCCTTATACTTTACACGTAATGATTTTTTCGGATCAATTTTATTTTTGCCTTGGAAATGTTAAAAACCCTAATGCATTTTTAAAATATATTTAATTTTGTAATTCTAGACTTTACTAGTTAATGGAACGGTCGTGTTGTTAATGGAGCAGCACTAAATCAACACCATTTTAAAGCCATTTCGAAGCTGCCCTCGATTTTTTGTTTTTAAACACGGAACTCCGTTTTTTTCAAAAATCAAACATGTCTGCGATATATTCTCTCACGAGAAACTCTTAACCATAATAAAGGTACAAATCAATAGTGTTCAATGCTAATAGTACCAATAATAATAAAATATTTCAAACCGTTTTTTATATTAATTGCTTCCTAAATGATGTTTTCGATTTGCGCTGTCACATGTCACGTCAGCATGGCAGAATTCTAAGATAATTTTTAAACACACACACAAGGCCGAATTAATCGCTGTTTATTATTAATTAAAAGTAATTTTCCACTACAAAACACATTTTAAAGTGGCTCCTAGTTTATACAATCACCAACGTCGCTGGAAATAATAGCTACGCACACCTTGTTTGCGCAAAAATATGCTCGTTTGAAATTTCCAAACGCCACAAATTAAAATAAAAAATAACAAGCGTAAATTATGTTTCAGGCCATTTCAATTATAAAATCTGAGTCAAACAAAAGAAATCAAAGGACACATATGTCAACAAAAACAACATAAAACGTCAGCTGTTTTGTACCTTTTAATTTTTTTCTTTTTTTTTTCTTGGTTTGTGAAACTCAACGACACAAACACGATTTTCAGCGCTTTGTGTTTTACTGTCTATGTTTACCGTTTTTAAATTTTGATGAAGTGGCCACATGTATTGTGTATACCGTCATCCGCACGGTCGTGTTTGATGTACCGTTTTTCAATCAAAAGTTTTTAGATTGTGGGAAATATTTTTAATTTGATATTAATTATTTACAGCGAAATTTTTAAATTTGCCTGATTTCATCCAATCACGCGCTGGTTTTATAGACAATTAAATACGGTATGAAGCCACAACCAATAGTTAGAAAGTCGGAAAGTGAAAAAATCAATTAGTGTTAGATTTTAGAACATTCAATCGCGAATTTATGAGACCGTTATACCCCAACAGTAATTTAAAAAGCGCGTTTATTTTTGTCTGGAAATAAATTGTAAATTCTCTTTGCGGGTGTTTCTGAAGAGTTGTGACGCCGTCTCTGCGTTTGTAGCAACATATGTTCCGATCATGTGATCGGTGTGGAAATGGTATGGAATATATTCATCATGTAGGATATGAGGACTGAGTCTATTATGGGTTGCAACTGCCATATCGACGTGTAAATTTCATATTAACATGTTTAATCCAGCATAGCCTCTCTCGCTTCGCGACACAGGCATAACCTAACCGGATTACCACATGCAAATTAGTGACTGATGAGTTAGAGGACTACACAGTGAGTTTACCAACGTACACATGATGTTCCGGTAATAATGCATAAGGTCACTTGATCGAGAGGCGGCGATGCTGGTGCGAAGAGGGTCATCGAAAAGAAAATAGAAGAAGGGTATCGCAGATGGAACGAGGTGGTCGCCTTTTGTGCTCCAATCAACACGTTATAAATGTGCATTTAGATTCGCCACATTTCCACGCGGTAGCTGTTCGGTATCCAATTTAAGTGAAGCAAAGGATGAGTCTGCAAAAGTTTCAGTCGGTTCTCTTTATCCAGAAGAACATTGCGCAGAGAGCAAACAGTCGACAGCCAATATTTTATTCATGGTTTCTACTGTTGGCTCATCATCAATATTAGACGTGCCGTGTGGGCTCCGTTTGCTACCGCTTATGCCTTCCTGCCAATAACGCCATCATCTCTTATGCATTCAATCGAGAAATTAAAGCCGCTTTTAAAACATTCCGATATCCAATTTGCCGAACAAAATCGCTCAATATCCGCATACATATCAAATAAGAAAAGAATTAGATTAGGAAAGCACTTACCCAAAATAAAGGCAAAGACGAACAGCATCTGCACGTACATTTAGCGACTTCACTTTAGCATCGCCGGCACCTGCAAACAACACACCCTATCAATATCGCTCTCGCACTTCCGGATTACCCCATTTGGAATTATCACCCCTGCAACTACATCAGCTGCACCCGACAAACCAAAAAACATACATTATACCCATTCACCGTCTGTAATATCCCTATTAAATATAAGTATAACGGTGCAGCTAATACCCGTGACATACGTGCCACACCAAACCATTCCACTCAGATCAGATTTCAATGTTACAATATTTTTTCTCGACAAGACTATGCACTCCACAAGTGGCAATTTTTTTGTCCCAGTGCGTTTTACTCTACGAATCGATGATAGCGCCATCTAGCGATTTCAACGCCCGGCTTAACTTAATACCCAACCTTTTTGCGTCCACTGTTTCTGTCCACGGGAATTAAACAGTTCGGCCTCGGTTATGTCTCGGCCTAGTCTCACCGCTATCAAACAAAATTAACTCGATTATGTCGCACAAAAATGCCGCCACCGACTCATTTCATGACTCGGGGACGGAATTAACGACGGGACCACTTGTGGAACAACTTGGCCGGCAAACGAGACAAACACGATAAACACACATACGTAATTTTAACGGGAAAATAACATTAGCTCTCGTAAAACACAAACGCTACTACATAATTATGACTTAATATATCTCCAGCGACAAACAAAAACGTCCACGTTTTTGTCGCGACTAGAAATCAACTTTAATTCGTCAACGCGTAATCAAAAATATGCAGTTGCGCTTCGTTCTGAACTTTCATTACTGCTGTTGCTGTGACAACCGCGTAAAAGCATGAAAACGGAGAGAATACGGGACGCTATATTGCAAATATTGCGAACTAGTTTATGCCATACAGAAGTGTTATTTATTCCGTCGTATTCGATTTTTGATAGGAAATAGGAGCTCTTTTGAATTAAAAACGGATTAAAATGATGCTGGGTGACACGAGTGGAGTGACTAAGCGGGCGTCGAACCACCACGTCGTAGGTGTTCGTGTCCCCGACGAGTAGAAACGCGTGACAAATGTAACTGCAATATTACAAACGTCAAGTGTCAGATCTGACATTTGTCAAAATCTAATTCTGTGGTGGGCTGATACAAGAACATGGCAGGTGTAAATTCAAAGGGATCGATTAGAGCATAACGCATTACACTGTAAAAGCTATATATGGTCTGAAGAACACATTCATAACTGCTCTTACATTTGTTCATTATGATGCTAAAAGCTGTACCGGTGAGCGGTATGCTCTCTATAGGTTTGGCAAAGCAGCAGAAAAACAAGAACTGTGGTGCGTGGTGAAATTCTATTTGCTCGAGAAGTGGAAAAATGACTTAATTAAAAAACCCAAGCCGCTTTGTAGTGTGAAAATCGTAATATCAAAATAAGCGTATTTATTTCTCCGAAGGAGTGAATAGCGCCCACTGAGTGAAAGGCAGAATGGATGTAAAGAAACCACAGTTTGCGAATCTGGTAAATTACGTTATCTGTTTTAATTCTTTTTGGTAGATTCGGTGAAAAGTTGAATTCGGAATAAAAATCGTCACGGAATATCCGGTCCGTTGAAGTTTCAGCATTCTGTTTTTACATCCGTCACGACAGACATAAAACCAATAAAATAATTTATGTTACTGTTTTATTTTGTACACAGTGAAAAGTTGGTAATAAAGGCTAAAATGCATTTTTTTTCTCATTTGGTAAGCTAATAAATAACCGGGTCATTGCTCGTCGGAGAGCTTGGTCATACGTTTATCTATTGATTTCGCGTTCGAATGGGGTCCATCTGTGCTGTTGTATTTACTTTTCATTACAGCCTCATATAATATCTACCAAATTTTTAAACACGCATTCTCCCTGACTTACCTTTGGGGTGAATCCACTTTTACGCATTAATTGCGACATAATTAATTAAAATCGACTTTGCGCGTTGTTTTCCTTCGATTAATTATAGATGCGCCAACTTTGACTCGTGAAACGAGAAAAAGGTTTCAAATAGAAATGGTATTGGTCACCGTTTACTCAATCAAGAAAAACTAGTAAAAAAGTAACACAATTTTGGTGTATTTTAGCAGCATGTTTTCACGTGACGGGTATTGCTACAATTCTCTTTGAGCCTTTGAGTGTCTTGTTTTTCTGTCTCGGCACATCCAACGCGTACGCGAGGAAGTTTACATCCCATGAAAATCTTTTGTCTGAATACCTGGCAAAAAACGCGCTCCACACATTTGTAACTTGATGGATACACTTTAAGTGCTAGATACAATTTAGCTTAAGATAAGAAGACGTGGAAACTTTACAATACCACTTATCGCTCGTACAGTTTTACAAGTATTTTCTGATACCTGTCACAATTCTTCCACGAAATTGATAAACGAAACGTATTTTTGAACGCGTCAAACATTTGTAAACATTGTTCGGTTCGAGGTTAGTTACGCATGCGCTTGACGTGATGACGTAGCTATTTGTTGACGTCATTCCAGTGAAGACATGCTTTTTGCAAGCAAACAATAAAATGTTACTTTTAATAATAATAATAACAAACGGATTAAAATTACCACACTAATTAGCAAGAGAGGCAACCAAGATTTTCGAGCCGGTTGAATATTCCTCAAGTAATAAATTTAATTTAGAAAATTATCCTGAAGTTGCCACTTGGTCACAAAATTATTAAGACAATAAAATATATTGCGCCGAGAGACCAATTTTGTAATGTACAATACGAATCGCTAGCTGAAACGAAATGATAAATTACGCCTGCAGTATAGTAAATAACGGACAATATTAAACTTTTTATTACCTATCTTACGACGAAGCCCAAGATAATTTCTTTCGAATGTGTTTTACACAATAAATTAACGATAATGTTGCACCGCGTGTAACAATATGACATATTATACCGAAGCACAACGAAAAGCAATATCCGGCTTGTAACTTATCCGTATAAAATAGCGATAAGGGCAATATTTGTGTAATGCTATTTTACAGCTTCCGAGGTGATAACTCCACGTAAGTTATTGCTAGTGGTGTTAATATTATAGAAACAAGTTACGCAACAAAGTCGGTTGGAGCACATGGGTTATTTTTTATAATGGAATTTCATTAGTGTGTTCTAAGAGAAAAACGGCAATTATCAGCATTAAATTCGTGCAACATACTGGCTGAGAAATTAGCGATAGCCACTAATGCACATGGTAACTCCATTAGATTTGTACCGTTTGCCACAGTATGCAGATGTAGACCTCATTTAGATCTATTGCGTATTGCGTTGCAGGCCCATTAATGCATTTGCATTATTATAGGACATATACATGCACATACCTTACATTTACTACTCCAGCTGTTACAAACACATCGACCAGAGAAGCGTTCATATTCCTGTCCCCTCAAATGATCAAAAATACTTCCCTTAGTGAAGGAGCTAGAGAATCTCCCTAACAGAACAATGAAAAATAACCACACATCCTACGCGGTGTTGTTCAATTCTACCAGAAACATAGTCAATTAATATACAATTCTGTGTGATTATACCGGGATGCTGAGGCACGTCGTCTAATTTAAACGGAATGTTGCCATCCGTTCCATTCTCTGAAATACCAATAACGTTTTGTCGCTAATTATAAAAGAAGCGTCAGTTTTTGATTAATTGCTCGGGGTTCTATGCAATCAAATATCGGCCGTTTCAATATACCTAATGTTTAAACTGGCCTAGGTATATTCCCTTGCACTTTGCGAGATGAAGCTATCGATTGCTCGGTAAACTAGTAAAGTTACGCTCAGAGTGAAGCCGAAATTTAAAGTTTTCTCGTATTTATTTCGTTCACGTCGATCTGGCTTGTTTTCCTTTGCACATGCTATGTTTACGTATGGTATTCCGAGCGCTTTCTTCCCTACCACAAACTAATATATTATCTGACCAAAGGAAAGTTCTCCGATCCTTCGCTGCTTAGAGATTAACAGTCTATCAAGCGGTCAGAGCTTTTCTACCCGTATCTTCCCAGTGAATATTGACAATAAAACCGTGACGGCTGAGTCTGCTTTAAAAATTAATTCCTACCGACTGCGCCAATCAATCACTTACTTATTAGATAAATGATATGTTTCCGAACGCAATCAAATCTTGCAGCAGCTTGTTTGCGTAATTGTTTCTTCAATATCCTTGATGATGCTTTCGCTTTTCTTTAAATGGCGGAACGGCGGCAACTTCATTAGCCCGACTCGGCTCTACTTCAATTATAGCTCGATCACACCTGCTGTCTGATCTATCACTTTGTCAAGCGACGCGACGTCCTTTTTACGCACAGGGATTTATCACACTTATAACTGGTAGATTTTTCAGCGCTGCTTGCTTGCTCTTCATTACTTAAACAGCCAGATGAAACGAACGCATATACCCCACATACTAACAAAATGAAGCATACTTTGTGAACATGAAAATTGAAATTGGTTTTTGCACCAGAACGTACTTTGTCTTGGTAATGAAACGACTTGAGTATATAAAGGTTAAACAACATAGGTATTTCATGGCAGTTAAGAAAAGCAAATGTAAAGAAGTAAATTTTATTTTAATTTTTGTGCGCATACGTTCAAGAGAATGCTTATTTTAAGAAATTTAAATAGGATTTACTAAGCAAAATTTTGAGGTGACGTCATCACATTGTTGGTGGGGATGATCCTTAGCATAGTTTTTTTGAAAGCACTTATTTCTTGGTATATAGGTACGTTGAAAATAGTATCATAATTGTTATGGGAGCTGGATTTTGTTCCCTGCGAGCAAAGGGAGCTATAATTCTTTGTGTAAAACCGGGAGCGCAAAGCTTGTCCGGACAGTCTTTTACCGAGCGAAGCGAGTTGTATTCACAAACATTAATCGTTAGATTAATCAGTTATGACATCAAAAAGCCATGCGAAGAGCGATATTCTGGTGAAAGTTGTGCATAAGTTTCCTCTTCCTTGTTCCTTAATGTATTTCTCACCTCCTCTTTGGCATACTTTCATTCAGCCCTAAAT